GCTTGCTGTGTGGGAAACAGTGACACTAGATACTTTACATTAAGAGGACCATGGAGATAGCAAACATGCAAAGGAATGAATCTTGCACAGTGGAGTAAATCTAAGTCATGTCCAGGGGCTGAGGAGGGGACACACCTCTAGGAAAGATGCCATGGGGAGACGTGTTTCTTGAAGGGCTGACATGAGACTTGATCACAGGGCTTGACATAGGAGCATCCAGCAGATTTTCCCAGGGAACAATCTGTAGGTAGAAGGGATGGCTAGGGTGGTGCTATGTGGAGCTGAACATCCTGAGGTGAGAGTACCTTCCCATTTCTTAAGGTGTCCAAGCTGTGAACCATCTATGGAGATGTCTACAGTAACTATTCTCCATCCCCAAGGGAACCAAAGATTGGGGACAAAGTGCTAGGAAAGACAGAGGAAGGGGGAAGTGACACTATGGGCTATGGACCAGCTACTTCTTTTCACATTCCTTCCACCGCTGTGAGTCTGTGATTTGAAATAATAAGACAATAGATCAGTGTGTATGGCATCTCTGGAATACAGCAAAATAGATAAAAACAAACAACTCCTACTCCTCAGGACCCATACTAATCTTTGAAAAACTAGCATAATGCCTTTTTTCACCCGGAAGATGACAGATATGAGTGTTGATATCTGAACTGGACTTCCTGCCTCTATTTAGCCCCTGTAGTCTCACTGTACCTCCTACTCCATTCTTCACCAAGCAGTACGAGTGATCTTTAGAAAAATAGTAATTGCATCATGTCAGTTCCCTGCTTAAAGCACAGGAGAAAGCCTTCTTCTTAACACTTGGAATAAAGTTCAAGCTTCCCAGGGACCCTCAAGGCCCTTGTTTACTGAGGATCAACTTGCTCTCCAGGGTCACCCAGTGACATACTCTGCATGCTTTTGTCCATCTGGTCTCCGTGGGGGTCCTTCATATTCAAAAGATTCCCACCCTGAGCATATCTTGCTCTTGTCCCCACAGCCCCTGTGCATTCTTCAGAACTCTTTAACATTCAAGGGTAAGACCCCATGCGTTCCTCATAGGAGATGAAGTCTGACATCTGCTTATGTATTTTACCATCTGTATGCCCTTAGACCATAAGTTCTGAGAGGCAAAAGAATAATCCTTTAGCTCTTTGGGCTGTGTTATATCTCAAGTGTCAGAACAGAGCTGGCAGTCAATAAGAATGGATACATAAGGGTAACCTCTTATTAATTGGCAGCTCCATTCACATAGGATTAGATTGAGAATTGTTAGGGTCAGGAGAATCAAACTCTGTTCATGGTCTGGGAACCATGGCATGGGACCATGACACCAGACCATGTGTTCCAGATGGCCACCTCCTTTTCCAATGCTATTTAACTGAGAGACCCAGCTAAGTCCTCACAATTCAAGATCATCTGTAAAGCTCAAAGGCCTCCTAAGAAAGTTCCAGGCCGAAAGCTCCTTCTCCCTTGTTCGCTTTTAATTAATATTTGCCTGCTGGGTACTGTGTGCATCTTTGTGAGCAGCTTCTCCGCATGGTTTTCCCCACCTCCTGACTTCCTTAATGAAGACACCAGAGAAAGATGCTTTGGCTTATCCGCGAGCAAGTGTCACCTGTGGGATAGTTGGCAGCCTGAGGAAAAGGGCCTTTGAAATGCATGCTATGGGTCTTTATTTGTGTCTGAGGCATGAAGTGGGGGCTTGAGCGTGAGCCATTCTTCTCCACCTACAGCTCAGTCCTGGTGGAGCTTGCCCTCTGAGAACAGCACATTTACCCAGTTCCTACTAGATGCAGGGAGCTGGAATTTTCAGTGGCCAAGACTGGCAAGGAGAGCCCTGCTCCCTCTCTAAGTGCCCTGATGCCTTGGGAAGTCAACCCCCCCTCGCCTGCCTCAGTCTTGCTGCTCTGTACAATGGGCAATGCCCCTATGTTGAGTGGGTCTTTTACCATGGTGAGAAAGGAAGACTTTCAGAAATATAAAGACTTTTACTTCATCCATTTCCCTTTAATGGATCTAAGCTTTTGGGATTAAAATGGTACAGGGAAGGCACTTTGAAAAGTGCTTTTGGAACCAGAGGCATTTTTATGATAATCATTACTCTCTCAAGGAACCACAGGAGAAAGCAGCCTTCTTCTAGCAGGGAAGGAACAGCTGTGATCCAGAGCCCTTGGAGGTCTGCTCATCACCTGAATTAGGCTCCTAACTGGGCAGAGAGCTTCTTACAACTCTCCAGGCCAGGTGATTGAGGAATCTCATACTTTACTTCAGAATCGGCCACAACTTATATGGCTCAGTGGACCCATTATCTCATTTTCACCTCATTTATGGCCCTGAGAAATGGAAGAAAGAGGCACGAGTAGATTATTCCTGGAAGCCCTGAATCTATCTTCAAATTTTATCTCATAAACTCTTTTATAAATTTGATTTGTTTCCCATTGATACCTTAAAATGGTAACATCCCAACTTCAGCTCTTCAGATACGTAAGGCCTTTCCAAAAATGCTTTTATCCACCTCCTTAAGATGAAAGAACTGTGGTTCTGAGACCTGAAATAACTTGGCAGAGACCCACAGCAAGGCGATTCCTGAGCTGGGACTGGCCGCTGAGATTCTCTGTTCTTTGTCCAGTGTTCTAGCTCTGTAGGATATTAGCTCTGTCGTAAATTCTGATTCATTTTGTGGCGAGGCATGGAATTCCTTGAGGCATGACTCCTCCACACCACTCCTCTTCCTTGAGCCATCAGTGATTTCTTTAAAACTCAGTGGAACCCATGGTGCACAGCCTGGACACCAGTGTCTCCCCAGGACTACAATCCTCCTACTGTCTATAGCTACCCAACAAGTTACAAGCACAGTAGCTATCTCACAAGTTACCTAGGTCAGATCTGGGTGAGGACAGCTAGATTCCCTGCTCAGGGCCTCACTGGCTTGAAACCAAGGTGCGACTTTGGGATTGAGTCTGCCTTTCAGGCTCCCTGTCTGAATTTCAGCTTCTTGTAGTTGTAGGACTGATGTCACCATG